GTGTGTGTGTGTGAGAGTGAGTGTGTGTGTGTGTGTGTGAGAGTGTGTGTGTGTGTGTGAGAGTGTGTGTGTGATTCTACACATTAGAACAATTCAGATAAAGTATCTAAAATTATTTATGGAACAGATAAAATACATCATTTATTAATCAATTATCATTTAACCCTTTTCTTTATTTAAAGGCTCAAATGTAAGGTTTTTCAAAGCTTTAGATATTTGATCATGCTATTAGATAAATCATTGTCAGTCATGTTTTCATGTAAAATCATTGGTGATGTTATTGTTTTAGTGATTATGCAAACAAAAAGTCATTTTATTGGTTGTTTGTTGATTTTAAATATAAAACCTGGTTTAGTGATTTATGCGTCAGTACTTTTTGAACATTTCCAGCACATTTTAACAATACCGTGTTGATTTTGGTCACTGTAATCGTGATAAGAATGAACATCCCTAATGTTGAATGACATTAATCAAAGCTTGCATTGACTGCAGGAAAAGGCCATCAGCATTTGGGAGTCCAAAAACTTCTTCATTGACCTGGAGCCTCTTCCCGGAGGAGTGGAGGCGGTGAAGGAGATGTCCGAGATGGAGAAGTAAGTTCAACCAGCGGGACATTGTCTTGCTGTACTAGTTCTGTGATTCATTTCATGCTAATCTGAAGTGTTTGTGTGACAGTCACAGTGAAGTACAGTCGGAGAAAGTCTCAGATGAACTACTTCACGCTGCATAACAGCACAGCTAGTAATCTGCCTTGAGTAAATGTTTAGTTTGCATATTATTACTAGTTGTGAAATGACTCTTGCTTAGTTTCTCTTTCCTTCACCCAGTACAGATGTCTTCATTTGCACCAGTCCAATAAAACATTACAGCTACTGTCCGTATGAAAAGGTAAGTTCGCTTAAACTGAGGTTGAACTGTATTTATAGATGGACTTTGGTCTGATTGGGTTATTTATTGATTATGTGTATAGTGGGGTCCAAAGTCTGAGACCACTATTCAGGGTCAGCAACGTGATATTAATTTCTTTATTTTAGTGTGTTCTTAATAACAGTGAACATATAGTAAGTACATGGTGTTAATTCAGTACTTATTTATGTAACAAGGACACAGTAAAATAAATTCTGACCCATTTTTGTTTTTATATAAATGTATTCAAAATTAAATGCACTGACTTGAACACACCTCTTGAATGCCTGATGAATAGAATTAAAAATAATATTTTTGGGCGACAAAATCATTAATAATAAATACAATAAATTATAATTAATCATTTAGTTTGACATAATATACTATCGTTTCTTTAGACTTTAGAAAAAAAAATATTTGAACAGAATTGCTGCTCAATTTAACTTGATCAGTGTATGTTCGTTTACTTAATTAGTGCAGAGTCTGACATATTTCTTATTCGTCTTACAAAATAACTTTTCTTGGAATTTATCAAAATCCTGTAACTGTCTATTTATTTCCAGATTTGAATAAGTTAATGTAAGATTAATTATTTTATGTATCTGTTTGTATGTATTGTAAGTTTTATTATTATTATTTTTGTGTTTTGGTTCTTTAATCTGCTCATCTGTTATTGTTGTTTTCATGTTCAGCCTTTTGAGCCGAATTTTTTATTTTATTTTATTTTTATTTTATGTATTTTATATACATTTATATATAAAACATAACTGAAGCAATCCCATTGCTGGGAGTTTGGTGAAAGTAAGATATTATATAGAATGTTTAATTTTTTTTTTAACAGCAATTTAAAAATTATTAAACTTATAGTGAAGATTAAAAAATATTTTTTACCCAATATGCTGTTCTGAATATAATCGTAAATTTTACACACACACACACACTCACACACACACACACATATACACACACACACACACACTCACTCACACTCACACACACACACTCACTCACTCACTCACACACTCACTCACACTCGCTCGCACGCACTCACTCACACACACACACACACACACACACACACACACAACCAGTTTGAACCAGATTTCAGTGCGGCTTCCTCTAGTGAAATGTGTTTGTCCCCAGTATGCCTGGGTAGAGAAACATCTGGGCTCCGAGTTCCTGGAGCAGATCATCTTGACCAGAGACAAGACCATAGTGACCGGAGACATCCTCATCGATGACAAACCTGATATCCTAGGTGAGTACGAGCCTGCTTTACCCACATCACACGTAATGCGCTCTGGAGGAACGACGTCTTTGTGTTTCTGCTGCAGGTGTGGAGCCCAATCCGTCCTGGGAGCATGTCCTGTTCACTGCCTGCCACAACAAGCACCTGCCGCCAAACCTGTCCCAGAGACGCCTTCAGTCCTGGGCCGACGAC